GCATAAAATGGTGTAATTATCAAATACAACATAACAACAATCTACAAAAATCAGATGAAATATCTTCACTCATCAGATCAATACAAAAAAAAACAAGTAACAAAAAACAAACTGGACCTGGCAAAGGAATTTATACATCCCTCACAACAAAAAAGACACAAAGTACAGACTTGATAGTCATTATATTATGTCAATGTTTAGTTCCCATTTTCCAAAGCAAATTTAACTTTTCTGGTAATGATCCAATTGTGATAATGGTCGACATCAAGGTTTTGAACAACAGATGATGAAATTTCTCCAAAAGATGAATGTTTCCTACCAGGTTGACAATGAAAAGGTCTTATATCTCGTAAATCTGACAGAATTGCCAGTTCATCTGCCTTAGACGATTTGTCGGAATGTTTTTTGGAACGTATAATTACCCCTGACTGTTTGTCAAAATTTTCTGAAATTTCGTGAATTCCAGATATTGCCCTGGTACGGTTTGAAATGTTCTCTTCAGTTTTGTTGGAGTACATATGTTTAACATGTTCTTTTACTTCTTTGACAAGGTATTCCATCCTTCGGTCAGCAGGAATATGCGTGTCAAATTTGCCTCCTGTATTTACAAACATGGAGTAGAATTCCTCATTGGAGCCTTTCTCAGACAAAGTACATAGTTGATGTACCAGAAGTCTGAGTATTTCTAAGGCGTACTTAGATAGATTGTTATGGACTTTGAAATACATCATAGCAAGTTTTAACAAGCGTATCCCTCTTACTCTTTCTGGCATATGTATCATATCTATCAAGTCTTTAAACAGCAATCCTAGCTGGAGTATTTGATTTCCATAATTACTAATTTTATCACCTTTCTTTGACTTTGATATTGTTTTCTTCATGAGTGTGATGGTTTTCCCATTTTCCAAAACTAATCGGAAACACTGACCATCAACTGTAAAGAAATAGTTTTCAAAATTAGATACATATTTTAAATCAATATCACAATCATATTTGAAAAAAATTACTATCCAATCATTTTGCATTTAAGATTTGAATGCATGTCTTGTTTGTTGTTTAATATAAAACAGAAGATGTGGTATGAATGCCAATGAGACAACTCTCCACAAGAGACCAAATGACACAGAAATTAACAATTATAGGTCACCGTACGGCCTTCAACAATGAGCAAAGCCCATACCACACAGTCAGCTATAAAAGGCCCCGAAATGACAATGTAAAACAATTCAAACAAGAAAACTAACGGCCTAATTTATGTACAAAAAATGAACGAAAAACAAATATGTAATACATAAACAAACGACAACCACTGAATTACAGGCTCCTGACTTGGGACAGGCACATACATAAAGAATGTGGCGGGGTTAAACATGTTAGCGGGATTCCAACCTAACCTGGGACAGTGGTGTAACAGTACAACATAAGAACGAACTATAAAAATCAGTTGAAAGAGGCTTAACTCATCAGATGGATAAGAATACAAATACTACAAATACAAGTGGACGTGGCCGGGTACTTGTACATCCAAACAACAAAAAGACACTAAGTACAGATCTGAGAGTACTCACAGTTACTGACAGCTAGTTCAAAGCAACTAATAAAAAAAATCATGCATCTAAGACTAAATTATCAATCCGTACACATCCAACATCCAATGGATTTAGTGTAAAGACGTCATAAACAGTCAGAGAAAAACATGACCTTGTGCAATGCCAAGATACAGGTATCGACAGATTGTAGATCCATGAATGTGTATATGTATATAACAATAATATTTAGTTTGCTTTTAATTTACTGATAACAAAATCAATATTAGTACCAATAAAAACAATATTTAATGATCTAATTACAGTGTTGAATTGGTAACCTTTTAGAAAAGTTTATTTAAAGGATCGATAAGTTTACCAGGATCGTTTCTAAATTTCCGGGCACGGTAAACAATATTGCCGTAAAAATGAGGATGTGCAATCCCGTTTGAAATAAGTTTTCTACAGGTACAACCAAACTTCAAAACCAAATCTTTATATCTGTGGAAGAATAAAGTAAAGGTTTTAAGTAATTTGTGGTAACGAAATCCCTGGCTTAATAATTTACCAGTAATACATAGATTACATTTGTTAAAATCAAAAACGTCACAACAGACATGGGCATAGCGAACGATTTATGAAATATAAACACCGTAAGATGGTGCCAAAGGAACATCACCATCCAAAAAGGGAAAATTAACAATAGGGAACGAAAAATCGTCCCTTTTGTCATAAATCTAAGTGTGGAGTTTCCCGTGTAAAACCGAAATATCTAAATCTAGGAAAGGACAGTTGTTACCATTTAAATTTGATCTATTTAAAGTAAGTTCCTTTGGGTAAATTTCGGCAGTATATTGAGAAAATTCTTGATTATTTAACGAAAAAATATCATCAAGATAACGGTAAGTGTTGTTGAATTTATCAATTAAATGCAATTTAGACGGGTCTTTACTGAGTTTGGTCATAAACTGTGATTCATAACAGTACAAAAACAAGTCTGCTATTAAAGGGGCGCAATTTGTGCCCATAGGAATACCTACAACCTGTCGATAAACTTAGCTGCCGAAACGTGCATAAATATTATCAAAGAGAAAATTAACAGCTTCAATCATCTCATCACACCTCCAGTAAGTATGTCTAGCATATTTACCTTTCTCATTAGAGAAGAAGGCTTTAAATGAGTTGCATCAAATATATTTGCATTCAGATTTACCAAACCACCATTTATTTAAATAGTCAAATTTTTTTTTGATAAGATTGTGTGGAAGTTTAGTGTAAAGAGTAGAAAAGTCAAAACCGTCAACAGAATCAAAAGGACAATCAAAAGAACGTAATTTATCTAAAACATCCAAAGAATTTTTTACACTCCAAAAATAGTTAATTCCACTACTTTCATATATTTTATTACAATAGTTTATGATAAGCTCTTTGATAGTAGTTAAGGAACTTGTTAAAAGCACTGAAAGATTAGTTGTAGAACACTTACTAGAGGGCGAGATGGAATGATATTTTACTGGTTTTTTGTGTAATTTAGGTAACCAATACATAGTAGGGACCTTCAAATGTTCAGAAGAAGCATTAAGCTGTGATGTGGTTATGATATACTGTAAAAGTGTACATTAAATAATATGTGCAGCAAATGGTATAAATAAAACCATAAGGAGTTAACTCTCCAAGCTTCTGAAAGACCAAAATTAGTGTTTGTCAAACTGCTAATACATGTATATCCCAGACATGGGGTCAATTACTTTTGAAAGTAATTAATTACATTCAATTACAATTACAAAATCTTCAATTAAATTACACATTACATTTGACTTTTTTTACCAATGTAATTAATTACTTTCCAATTACTTGTCAAATGTAATTAATTACTTCAATTACTTTTGAAAGGAAAATTTAAAATATTGAAAACATGCATTTATTCAGACTTCTATGATATGTACATAAGTATCATACATTGCTTAATAGTAATAACAAATGAGATCTTCAGCAACTATTTTCTAATTCAGCCAGTATCAAAGAATAGTAAAAGTTAGGTATCTGGTGTGTTACGGCGAAAACAAGAAAAAAAAACATACATAAATCTGAAGTGCACATAATACTTTGTCCATCCAGAATCGTAAGGGATAGAGGTCAGGTTTAATCTAATGCTCAAAATGATAAAAAGCCTTATTTAATATTTTGAAAATATTAAATTTTGTTATAATTACCAGTATTGAAATTTATATTTTAATGTATTTCATTGAAAATGATACAAAAAGAGGGCCCTAATTTTAATATTATGAAATGATTTTTTATATTGATCAAAACTTGATTTAGAAAGCCTGACTTTTTTTTAAAATATACTTTACTTTTAATCACAATTGATTTAAAAAACTTCATGTACCTAGCTATAGGGGTATATTTATCTATCTCCAATTGTCTTAACACCTGTTTAACATGCAAACTTAACTGTTGTGAAAACAGTCATTATATAATTTATAATAAAACAAATAGCCAGAAGTTATATTTGTTGATTGACTATGTCCTTTAAAATTGCATGATCATTTTAAATCAATGTCTAGCAATAAAGTATTCATTCAATATCTATCTGAATATACATATAGGTAACAAAGCTAATTAAGGTACAAGACAGTGACTTACTACTGGTTTCTTTTAAACACAAATTATGGCATGTTTCTTAAATCTTTATTTTTCTTCTTTTTTATTTTGTGTTCAATCAATACAAAATAAAGAATCTCCCATGGTTGTGTAATTACAGAAGTATACTGTATAGGCTTTGCTTTGTCAGCTAACTACATTTACTGAGGTCATGGCTTTTCATCATATTTTGAGAAAACACAAGATTCAATCTTTCTAATAAAAAATTTTAAATGTAATTGAGTTGTAATTGAAAAGTAATTGTCAATTACAAACAATTTTGGCTATGTAATTCATTACTTTCAAAACAATTACTTGAGAAATTGTAATTAATTACGGTCAATTACAATTACATATTTCAATTACCTACGCAATTTACAAAGTAGTTGAGGTGTGTAATTGGGATGTATAAGTATCCATCAACAGCCATATAGCTTTTAATTTGAAGCAATGACCACATACATGTACTGTCTTTATTTATTCCATTACACAAAGAAGCAATATTCTTGTATAGCCCACCATAAGGTATGGGTTTTTCTCATAGTTGAAGGCTGTACGGTTGCATGTAACTGCTTACAACAACTTCATTTGAACTTTGGTGGATAGTTGTCTCATTGGCAATCATACCACATCTCCTATTTTTATAGCAGTGTTGATAGCATACTTGACGATAATGTACCATAATCTACTCCTTAAAATTCATGATTTTCAAATAAACATGATTTTTTTTTAATATCAATAAAAAGAAGCTGGTTTAATATATTTCATTATTCTGTCCCTTTGTTTTTTTATTGATGTTCAAACTGCTGCACAATTTGAACTTACCTTGGTCTTTGTTAAATTTCAAAATCTACATATATAATTCATTTTTGTCTTGTTGTTCAGGTTGGTGCTTAAAGTCTCTTCACATCTATAAATAAAAATATTTAATACAATATTTTATCCTGCATTCAACCAATTTTTATTCAATTAACAGGTGCACATATAAATGTTTGCTTTATTTATTTACTGGACAAATAAAATTTTGTAACCGTTTCCAATATAGCTTTTATTTTCAAACAATGACCATATACATGCACTGTCTTTATTATTCCATTGGACAAAAAAGCAATTTTCTCAAAGAATTAATTCGGTTAGTTTTTTTATTTGAAATGTATTATATTTTTATGTTGTGATCTTTTATAGCCGACCTTAAGGTATGGGTTTTTCTCATAGTTGAAGGCTGTATGGTTGCATGTTATTGCTTAAATCAACTTGAACTTTGGTGGATAGTTGTCTCATTGGCAATCATACCACATCTCCTATTTTTATAGTGTTGTTGATAGCATACTTGATGATAATGTACCATAATCTACTCCTTAAAATTCAGGAATATGATTTTCAAATAACCATGATTTTTTTTTAATATCAATAAAAAGAAGCTGGTTTAATATATTTCATTATTCTGTCCCTTTATTTTTTATTGATGTTCAAACTGCGGCACAATTTGAACTTACCTTGGTCTTTGTTAAATTTCAAAATCTACATATATAATTCATGTTTGTTTTGTTGTTCAGGTTGGTGCTAAAAGTCTCTTCACATCTATAAATAAAAATATTTAATAAAAGTTGGTTGATTGCAGGATAAAATATGTTATCCTGATTTAGAGTAATTTCTCGCAATTTGATTGGCTAATTTTGTCGGAATAAATTTTAGTCCAATTTTTTTTTTTCATCAATTGGAATTATCTCCCTTATACAATTGACCTAATAAATTTTTTTTTTTTAGTTGCTTTATAGTCCTTATATTTTTCACAGTTTTAGATTAAATATATAAATATATTTGGTTGATATTGTCCTAATAATAGAATTGGAATATAATAATATGTAATATAAAAAAAATCAGGATAAATTCTCCTGCAATTAACCTATTTTTATTCAATGAACAGGTGCACATATAAATTTTTGCTTTATTTATATTACTTACTTACTGCCCGGTATGCCATTGGCATGTAGGGCAGCAACAATAAAGTTTTTGGTATCATATTTTTAATTAGAGTTGAGGGTGCAGACAAGGAAGAAAAGCAAACCAGTCTAAGGTTGACATGATAGATTAAGAAGACAACACTAAATTTTTGAGATTTATCATATTCCTCTACAGAGAGTTAAATGAAATGTATTTCTCTGAGTTCTTGTGTTCCTTTAAATAATTTTATAAAGCATTCAAATTTGACAATACTTTTTGTAACTTTGTTTTCAGTAAATATAGTATTGTTCTTCTTTGCAAAAATATATATGTTGCTACTATTTATTTTCATCTTGTAAAGTGGTGAATCAGTTCGTAAAATTCTATGAATAATTCTATATTGGAACCAGCAAAGCTTAGCGCTTCTAGTATATTTTGTACATGAAGTGTGTATTTTTTTCCAGTAAAATGAGCTAATACCAGTCATATTAAGATGGTTTTCTCATGTCTTTGGCAGATATTTGTCTCATTGGCAATCATACCACATCTACATATTTTTATACTTGAGGACTATATTATCCAGAAATCTTCTTCCATGACTCAATTTTGGGACCATTACTATTTTTACTTACATTAATATATGTTGTACTCATTTACTTAATAGTGGTCCATCATGTTTTGTCTTGTCGTTCTAATTGCTGCTTGATGTCAGCTTTCCATCTGTAAAAAAAATATTGATTTTATGACGATTGAGCATTTAAAAAGAAAAATAGTTCCTTATATTTAATTGCAAATATTTTTCATTGTTTTAACAGCGATATATTTAGCAAGGCTGCAGCGTATTAACATATTCATTAATGGTTTAGTGTAATTAAATATCAGCTGTATTTTTACAAGGCTAAGAAACAGGTGTAATGCATGCTGTAATCATTAAATTAAACAATAAACACAAAACATTCATTTGAATGCTAAAAAAGAGTTTTTGTAGTTAATTTAAATCAGAGAGCAAATTTCATTGAGTACATATTTTTGCGTTAACCAACAAATATATTCATGCACCAGGCCAATTCAATGACACAAATATATAAATTTACGTGTGATAGAGGTTATGAGTGTGGAAAAATAAATTCCTTATCACCTATTTTAAGAATTTCGGACTTTTATTCAGTTTGTGAGTTAATCGCTCCGGTTTACACATCAATAACCTCTAGAAAAAATGTGTTTAATCCTATAATAAACTGGACCAAGTCACTCACAAACATATCATAAAAGTCTTTAGGACTTTTATTTGTTTGTGAGTGAATTGGTAGAGTTTATACACCAATAAATTCCTATAAATATATAAATAAAAATAAATATGTAAACAAAGGACATGCTTACATATCTATAATAAGTCAACACAGTATTAGAAATAGGTAAATATGAATAGAGTTATATCCCTTATGCTGTATATTTCATATTGTGTCCAGTGTACAGGGAATTAAATTTGATATCAGAAAAAACGTTTATTTTTTAGTTAAAAACAGTCTAGTTAAAAGAAAACTTTCTGCATTGTCTAACCAAGAGAAGATTACTAGTACATGTATGTGTATGATTGAAATCTATCATTTTATTGAAAACTTTTGATTAATGGTTTCATAATGGTATTGGTTTTGAAGATAGATGATAGAGCTACTCACAAATAAAAGGGCCTTGAATGAAATCTGCAATTGGGGGAAAGGGTTGGTATAAACATAAATCCAGAAATGAACTACTATGTACTTAAGAATTTGAAAGTCTATATTTACTTGAATGTTCCATTTATTTTGGTTTAGAGAAAGTTTCATCAATTCTTTAAATCAAAATACTGGGAAACAGAGGTCAAAATTTTGTTTACCTAAAGAAGAAAAAGTTATGAACTTGAAGAAACTAGCTAGCCGGCAAAATGATGAAATCTTAAAAAAGACAGTATTTTACATAATTATTTATTTGTTTTAGATGAGATAAAATTTCCAATGGTCACCTTGTTAGTTCGTTAGAGATGAAACAACTTACATGTATAATATATGTGATATTATACTGCTTTCTACAAAGGAGGCTGTGTTATATTTTATAAATTGAATTTGAAAATGTTTGTTGTGACTGTTTATTTTTTGTTCCCCTTTATATCTTGGCACTTTGTTGTTAGTTTCTTTAGTTTTGTTTTGTTTCTTTGTTAGTTAATTTCTGTGTCATTTGGTCTCTTGTGGAGAGTTGTCTCATTGGCAATCATACCACATCTTCTTTTTTATACTTAAAATTAATATAGCCTCGAATTTGGTTGAAATAATTATATGAAATATAGTTTCATCAGACCACAATAAACAGACAATGGTACCTACATTGTAAAAAAAGTGAGATTTGCATGTATCTCAACATTTAGATACATGTTGAAATTGTTGTTTATTTGTTGTTGTTTCTCAGCTCAGTGTTAAGAAATAATTGGAAAAAAAATACAAAAAAGAAAAATTTGGGAGCAGTCAGGAGTAGAGTTTGTAAAAGTTTATAAACAAAAGACACTGAAGAATATGCATTTATGACATCTGGCAATCTATAGATTTTATCATTTCAAGTTAAAGACTAGACATGTTTGACTTTCTGACTCCCTTCATTTTGTTTTAATATTAGTATGTTATTTTGAACATTTAAAAATATATTCTCTATTTAATCCTGATCTTTCTTGTTTTAAGCAGCAAAAACAAATTTCTTTGATTAAATTCTGACTTCGGAAACCTTTAAATTATAATCTAACATTCCCCGAACTGTAGACTGTTGTCTGTTTGTATGGTACTTAAATTGGTAAAAATAAAGGCAGTGGCTATTTTGCCGGCACTGATTATCTTAATACAAGCTGGCAAAATAGCATATTTATATAAAAATAGTTATATTTTTTGTTAACACATACATTCAACTCAAAGAACTGACTATTATTTCAAAAGCAAGATATTAATTTAAACATTTTTGATATTTTAAGCTACATGTATGTGATTGACTTTATGTTATATTGTATAATGTCTTATCAAAATAAATTTGCAATGAGATTTTTAACGTGTATTTTTTTTATAACATACTGTTAAAAAATCTTAGAATTAATTCTTATGCACACATGTAGAATTTAATTTGACTGATTTTAGAAATTATTTCAGCTACATGTCTAGATTATAGATATGATTTCGTTGCTACAAATGGATGCTCAATATTAATTTTTATCTTGTTAATTATAAATTCCTATTTTCTTCTACTTCTACTATGTAATGACCGCCTTCAACACGTTGAAGTTTTTGTCACTTGTACTGCGCATTGCTTTGTGAAGACATATATACAGTGAAAAATTTACAAATTTGAAATTAATAACAAAAAAATTGATAATGACATTTTTACATAATGGCAGTGCATATTTTTAACTTATTATTTTTTTAATATTAAGATAAAACTATTTACACATGATGAATTTACTGCATGACTGTAGGTGTCGGTTGAGACTGCTGCTTTGAACAACTCTATAGAGTTGCTCATCACAATACTCAGAGGAAGGCTGTTCCTGTTTTTAATTGTTCGTGGAAAAAACGATTGTTGCCTTATTTGTGTTCTGCAGGATGGAATTTGATATGAGAGTGTGTGCATGTTCCGGGACTGTCTGAGCGGTTGAATTAGTCTGTCTGTTGTTGTGATCGCAATGAGATGATATGTGATTTTATAAAACATGACCAGGCGTGCATCTGTTCTTCTGTGTGCGAGGTCTCTCCATTTTAAGTGATCTATCATGTCACTAACGCTTGAGGTGTTTCTGTGTTGGTTAGTGACAAATCTAGTAGCCCTTTTTTGTACTTTTTCTATTTTGTTTATATCCTCAGTAAAGTATTAAGGGTCCCAGACTGAACAGGCATATTCTAGTGATGGTCTGACTAAAGATTTATATGCCTGTTCCTTTACTGAGGTGGAACTGATGTTTTCACTTTGACTGATAGATGTTTAAAGTTTTTAAGGAATAACATGTATCTCAAATATTGTTGGCTGTTTTCTTATTTAAATACTGGTATATCAGTAATTATTTGATTCTTTTATGTTATCTTTACTATAGTACTTCTGCTGCTTTGTGCTAATTTTAGTTGTTTACCTAATATATATGTGCTTTTAAATTGCAAACCATTTTATTTTTGCTTTTGAGTTTTTATCTCATAAGTGCATATTTCAGTGTGTGTTGAACTTGTAAGATGCTTAAAGAACTTTTGTGCTGCAAGTTTCCATACTGCATGTACTGATATGAACTCTTGCTTTATATGTTTAATTTATGTGTGCATGACTTGATATGTATGTTTTGTTTTATTGTTGCTCTGGCGGTTTTAAAAGCTCTTCAGAGCTTATGTTTGTACTTGTATTGCATATACCGACTCTAAATAAAGCTTTATGTCTTACTGCACATTTTCATAGATCTTTCCAAGTAAATATTACACTTCCATAGGCAAAATAACAAGTTCACTATTAATATATAATATATATTGCTGGTGCCGGTAAAATAGCCATTTTTATAGAAATATGCTATTTTGCCGGCTTGAATTAAAATTCGACTTAATTAAGAGATATTTTAATCAGTGCCGGCAATATAGGCCAGCATATTTGCTATTTTGCCGGTGCCGGCAAAATAGCCACTGCCAAAAATAAAAAATATCTATATAAATCCTCATTTTTTTTGTAGATCTTTTTTTAATAGTAATGATATTTATATATATTTTTACATGGTATTCAATTCTTCTGTGAAGATATCATTTAAATGTGCTTATGCGTTACATTGTCGATCTTCATTGTAGCAGACGTTCTATCTGACAGCTGTATTCATGACATAAGGAAATTCCTATAGAACTTCCGGAATCTCCTGCGCGACTGACTGCGCAGTAATTAGTTAAAAAAAGTACTAAAATGGAGTCGGTCTCCACCTGTCTATGTATAGAACAAGGTGATTATACATAGCGGGATCCCAGTCTAATTCAGATTGGTCTTAGTAATCAGCTGGTAATGACAATGAGGGTAATGAAATCACTTTTTGAAAGTTTTAAACGACACAAGTTTTATGCAAATATGACATTCTTGCAATATGTACTAATTATCTGCCTGTTTTTTTTTTATAACGTGTTTCAAAATAGAGAAAACAAGAAACTTTTATATCTATATATACCTTTTCTACCTCACACGTAGAGAGCTAAAATAAAATATAAAACGGAATCAAAATCGGAATCCTTCCGGAGTAATAAATTGTAGACTGGTTCTCCTGTCTAGATAAATGTGCATATTACATATATTCGCGTTGGCGTCAGGGGCGGATTCAGGCGGGGGCGTGGCGGGCGTGCGCCCCCTAAAATTGCAAAGCATGGGTTGTCCTCAGCTTAATAAAGAATTTTTCGATAATTTTACCTCAAACAAATTTTCGCCTCGCTCCGCTCGGTGAAAATTTAAGTTTGCGCTCCCCCTAACATAAAATCCTGGATCCGCACCTGGACGTTTATGTTGTTTTCCCACTTTTGCAAGCATATCATACACCATTAAAGTTTATGTTCAAGTTTATGTATTTGAATGGAATTGAATGATACGGCCCCCGGAAGCTCCTGGATTTTAGGGTTTTAAACCCACAAATATTAACTGAAAATATTGAATGTTAAGGTGTAGATAAAAGCATTTTTGTTTGATACAAGTCAGATAATTTTGTGAAAAGATATATATTGTTCCTCGAAGAAAAAGGAAAAACCAGGAGATTCGAAAGGGGTAAATAAGTTATATTTACTAAGACCAGTATAATAAAAAAAATTAAGGAACCCAGTGTCTTGCCTACTTTAAGATTCTAATAAATGTTTTAAGAACTTTAACTGTAGACTGTATGTAATGTTAACTGCAAGAAAAACTAATTCCATATATAATTAATATACAGAAAAACAGGAAATATATTTTTACAAAATTTCCATCTAGATACTAGCTTTTGATCCGGCATAATCAAGCTTCTGTCCAAGTTTGATAAAAATCCATGATAGTTTAAGAAAGTTATTAAAATTTTAAAAACTTAAACCACAGAGTGAATGTAATGTTAACAGGCAGAAACGGAATGTAGGATCGGTATGTCTCGCTTTTGTGACAAAAGTCGCAGGCTCGACAAAAACCACACCATTATATATTGCTTGGAGATGAAATGTAAAAAATATATTCAGTTTGATATAGTGGGTACCCAGGTTAGGGCAGGATGGCGCCTTCAAATTAGTATAGCCCAGCCACATTCGGTATATGCCTGTTCCAAGTCAGGAGCATGTAATTCAGTTTTATGGTTGTCGTTTGTTGCTGTATATCGTATTTGTTTTTCAATCATTATTTTGTACATAAATCAGGCCGTTAGTTTTCTCGTTTGAATTGTTTTACATTTGTCATTTCGGGGCCTTGTATAGCTGATTATGCTGTATGGACTTTGGTTATTGGGCCGTATGGTGATCTATAGTTATTAATTTCTGTGTCATTTGGTCTCTTGTAAAGAGTTGTCTTATTGGCAATCATTGCCACATCTTATTTTTTTTCTATTTTGATAGGCAGCGGAATACAACTTACGAGGTCAACTAGTAAATGAAAATAAACGAATGTGATGGCTCATCCTTGCCTTTTGCTGTATTGGGCAAAGTTTAACATCGTTCAAAAGCTGAGCAAAATTTATGATACAACATTATATATGATTCAGAATTTCCTGCCATGTTTGTCAGTGAATGAACTAAAAAATGTCTTGTTTTATTTCAAAAATACAAACACTGTAGTAGGGTAATTGTTCGAGGAATATTTCACTAAGTAGATACAGCCAGTCGAAACCTTCTGTGTGGATATGCATTATTAAAAGAGTCAGACTCAATCTCTCTCACCAGTGACTTATGAAACAAAAAAGCAACCCTGCTGTCATTATTGGTTGCAAAACAGTCAGTTACTTTATCAATGGGCGTCTCCTTGTTCGCGTGAAGGATACATTGCCCCGAAAGTTGTCCGGTTGTCATCATAGAACGCAGACATGTTTTAACCTGGCCACAACATTGAAAGTGCGTTGATTCAGCGGTGGTATTGGTCACAGGCATTGCCAATTCTGCGTTGCATTGTAACAAGCAGAGCACCCCGCAGACACAATATTCGTCTGCTATGAAAAGAGAGGAAATAAAGCGCTGGTGGTGGGAACGAACACCGGGAGTCTGAGAAGTGATATCGACTTGTTGACTTCTACAACTTTTTTTTATATTTAACCGCACAGTGCCCATTTATCTTCCCCTTTACTCTCTCTCACTCGGAGTCTCCCCCTCTCTCTCTCATACCTCTACCTCGTTTTTATTTTAATTTTCAATTTTTTAATTTAATTTTTTTTTGTTTTTGACAAAACGATGTTGAAGCCTTGGCTTCCGAGCTTCCGCCTAGCTACGCCACTGACTAAAACCAATCTGAATGTCATGTGGATATTTCGGTTTTATCACTCTTCTTTCAATGCTGTATATGCCTGACTTGTTGAAGTATTACCAGTGGTGACGATAGTTTCTAAGTCCTTATCAGTTTTAACACGAAAACTAGATCAGACAGCAAAGCCCTTCTTTTACCCCTTCCTGTGTATTGTGTGACTCATTTGGAAATTTTTCCTTATGAAAACCATGTTGGTGCCATTCAACACGCCATTTTCTTTGAATCAAAACAACCCTTTTCATGATTTTTGCTGTCCCCGAATTGAACATATTTTGTTATAACTACCAGCACTTAACATCTATACTGTACAGTGTAAAAGTATACTGTTTTTAGTGTTATTAGTGGACTTATTTTACTAATAGATCTCCACTAATAGTGGCTAATATTGCAGGATGAAATAAACAGCGTGATATGATAATAAGTCTATAACATTTGCATTGTTTTATTGCCGCAAATGAATGCTGCAGTTTTCAAAATAAAGTGACGCAAAAGAAGAATTGGCGTAATTAAGTTGTTGTGCAAATTAATTCTTTTTCAGCGCATATGGATATCGGCCTTCAAAACACCGTTTGTACATTAACGAAAGTGTATTCATCTTTTACGCTGTCTATATAGCTTGAGAATAAAAGTTTTGGCTATTTGTGTCGGATTTTAATTTTAGAATGGAATGAACAAGTCAGAAGACCGTTAAAAACCTTAAGTGACTAAATCGGAAAATGAGCTATGCACGATAAAAGGAAATAGTTTGGTGCGTCGATATGAAATTTCACAGAGGCATGTAATATTTGTAAATTTGCATTAAGTACTTTCAATACTAACAATTTGTAGAACTGATTATTTCGATCCTTCAAACTTGTGTAAAATAATTAATATTTATATTATTTAGTCTCTTTCATATATACAATTGCAGTATGTTTATAAATACTGTAGATTTGTATTTGATCAACGATTGCATGCATAACGTCCAGTGACAAATATTTCATGTATTCGTACAAAGAACAAATCAACAACTTAAAAATACAATTGATTGGTTATTTAAGGTGATTCGATCTAAATGATTATCGTAAAAAATTGTGAAACTTGGACAGAAGCTTACCTCTAATTTCAAAAGGCAATATCTTAACACGCTGTATTTGGCACCTGAAAGGAAATTTGTTCAAAATAAGACAAAGCAAACAAATTTACCAAAAAATGTTGGTTCTGAAAATAAACATATCATATATTCAGGGTTATATCTGGTCTATATACCAGCTTTGATAAGTGTTTGGTATAACTATAAATTTTCACTTCGTACTATGAACATCAAAATTATTTATTTTGTAAAAATATTTTCTTTCTCTATTAATTCATAACACTGTCCCACCCAGATCCTCCCTTATTATGCTGTGTATATGTCAGTTGTACCAATAACCAGTCTGCTATGTCTTTGGTGCCCTGACCGAATGCTGAAGAGTTACAGTGCAGATAAAGGCACCTGATTTACACTTATCAGAGTTCAGTAAAGGGACCAAGAAATGCCAACTGGTCATAGTATAAAGAATAAAGTAAACAGACACAGGTCGGGAGAAAGAATCACAGTTTAATATTTTCTTTGCATATCAATAAAGCAATAAACATATTTACAAAGAAAGCAAAATCAAGTTGAAAAACTGTGGTACTCCAAAATAATCCAATTATTTTCATTTACCTGTGTTTAAAGTTATTGCAAATGGCTGATATTTTTGTTCGAGCATATTGTTTTTCTTTAATTGTTTAACATTTCTTACCGATATAACATGTTACTTTTATTATTCTTCCCTTAGTTTATTTATTTTGTATTTACATTGTGTCATAGATCAAATTTATTTGTTCAGTGTATGTTCAATGGTGTTAATATGTCCTTTGATTGAGTTAAGCTATTTCAGTTGATATGTTATAGTGTGTCTTTCTATGTTGTGATGTTACACTATTGTTTCAGAAAAAGGGTGAAGGTTTGGTACCATTAAAACGTTTAAACCCGCTGCATTTGTTTGTACCTGTCCTAAGTCAGGAATCTGATGTTCAGTAGTTGTCGTTTGTTGATGTGGTTCATAAGTGTTTCTCGTTTCTCGATTTTTATATAAATTAGACCGTTGGTTTTCCCATTTGAATGGTTTTACACTAGTAATTTTTTGGGGCCCTTTATAGCTTACTGTTCGGTGTGAGCCAAGGCTCCGTGTTGAAGACCGTACTGTGACCTATAATGGTTTACTTTTATAAATTTTGACTTGGATGGAGAGTTGTCTCATTGGCACTCATACCACATCTTCTTATATCTATATATCAATGAAGATGAGAATAAAGAACAAAAAATAGTCACAGACCTGAGAAAAAAACTTGCTAAATCAAGAACAGA